GATGTTTCGAATTCCACATTTTCCTTCTTCTTGACTTCAACCTCAATTCCTCCCATAGATTCAAATGTTTCCTCTTCCTTCTTCACATCTTTGACGATGTTCTCCGCTTGTTCTTTCCTACTCCGACCTGTTTTCATCATCAAAGCAAAGAATTACTCTTCTTCTCCATCACTTCTGTTTCACAACAACACATAAAAAAAAAGCAAAAAATTCTTTACGAGTAGAAGCCATCGACGAGGGTTTTCGAGGTATGACAATCTCCTTGCCATGCTGCTCATAGATGTTGACACTAAAGCGCATCTTTCCTTTGAGAGTGAAAGCAACAAACTCGTTTTCTCCCAAAGCATTGTCCTTCACAAAGTTGTTCCATCCAAGCTTCTCCATGTAGTAGAATCTCGGGTTCTTCGAGATCTCAACTTCCCACGAGCTTCCCCATCTTGCTTTCATCACCATCTTGTAGGAGAAATCTTTTTTAGGGATTCTTTTCATGAAGTTGTAAGGAATCGCTCTCTGATTTCAACATGCACAATGAAGTTCTACATCAAGAACTTGAAAGACCAAACCTTTCACATCTAATCATCGAGTTTGTTCTTATCACAAACAAAGCTAGCTCAAGAAAGCAAGAAAAACAGAGAGGAAAGATCTGAGCATAAAGACAAAGAAGCCAACAAGTTTTGTTTTTGAAGAAGAAAACAGTGAACAAATGAGGTTACTTCCTTAACGAGATTAGCAGTGAAAAGATTCAACCTTTCAAACAAAGCTAACAAGAAGAGTCAAACACAGAGAACGTGAAGATTCAAAGAACCAAGAGATTCAACGTTTCAAACAGAGAGAGCCAAAAGTTAAAACCTTGGATTTGAAACCCATTAAACACAAAGAAGAAAAAGATTCCACCTTTCAAAACAAAACTATCAAGAAAATCACCAAGTTAAGAGGCATGAAGAGGTTTAGAACAAAGTTACCATGCTTTCAGAGGATAAATCTGCACTCTGAAAAATCTTGAAGAAGGATAAGCTTTTACGTTCTTCCTTAATCTTATCAAAACCATTTTTCGTTCCCATA